TGCATACAAACAATGAAAATCGGCATTTAAGTACACATTTATATATGGTACATAAGTGCGTAAGTGTCCCTGTAGGAAATTTTTCCAAAAAAATGTTATTGTTAGAATTAGATAATATTATATAATATATAGAATAATGATTGTATGTCATGACATATACATACATACATGTCGAATGTTAGCATAATACAATATATAGAATTAAACTAGTTTTTCCTATATTTCTTAACATTTTGCAAATTATTAAGTGCTCGTCGAAAAACCCATAAAAATGCGTTGCACAAAATTTCCTCACTACAATTTTCACTGTAAAGATACCGAAGAGCACACCCGGGCGCAGAAGATCCAGTTCTAAAACTAAAGCAGTTCCAATATCTCCAGAAACATTGTTTTCCATTTGAGGTGCTCTTTCTTCACTCACAAAGCAAGTGCAGAACATAAACCAAACAACAAAAGAAATCCGTGTTTATAAACTCGGAGGCGGAGTTAGCAAAAAGAGCAGTAGAGTTGGCATGAGCGATAAAAATTTTGTAATGCCAATGAAGCAGAAAAATATTGCGAATTTGCATACACATATCTTAAGCACTACTCATCTTCTACCACTAATGTGCAAAAGCCAGCATATCGCTAGGGGGAAAAATGAAAATCAAATTTTCGCAAACAAATGCGGTCCACCATAATTTTATTGAGGCTGCACGCGTTGGCCTTAGAAGCAAAGACACACATACACATCATCGAATATGCATCTGTTCCATGGACTGGGTGCTTTTCTTTTCAACCAGTGTTTTCTGTTTTGTGCTCACACTCCGCTCCATAAGCAAAGCGTACGCGATAAGAATGTCTTCTGCTATTTTCAACGTGTTACACAACTAAACGGGTGGTCTGGCATGCAACTGAGCGCGTCTTTACGGCGTTTTATTTATGCTCACCACTTTTTAAGGCATACCAGCAAACAAATATATGTATGTGTGCAAGAAATTCTCGCCCGCGCCTTTCGATATGCTACGAGTATGTTCGCTTACACTGAAGGTTGTGTGTGCTTCATATATGTATGTACAATATATGGTAGAGTGTGTGTTCGTGTGTTCGCAAGCATTTCGTTGTCACCAAATGAAGTTGTTTGCCTGTCTTGTTTGTCCGCCTATTTGTATGCTTGTCGTTGTTCCTTTCTTCCTCACTTCACATCCACCCTGTGCTCACATTTGTGCGCGCATAAAAGGCGTATCATGTGTAGTACTTAAAATCAATGAGCTATTCAAAATACTTGTACAATTGCCTTACGGTATTATATACTTAAGTTCGTATTTATTTATTTGCTTGTATTTATTTCGCCATTCCCCCCCTTCTTGAAGAGTTTTGCTGCGTGTAGCTACGAAAATGTTCGAAAGTGGATCATAAAATTATGTTTTGATTTTTATTGTCGTACACATATGTCCGCTTTGCTATTATTATTGCTCTTCCTTGAAAAGTAGCGTTGTTGCTTTTGTAAACAACAGGCGTGTGTGAGATTTGCCTTCAGGTTTCAGTGGAATAGCAGCGCGAGTGTAGTTGGTATGGCTTTTGTTTTGTTTATTTTTATTGGTGCGGGTAACATTACACATATGTACATGCGTTGTAAAATATTTGAAATATCTATGTATATAATTATGGCAATTTAGAAAGATTTATTGTATGTATGTACGTATGAATACCTTGTGGCTTTAGTTAATATATTTACTGTTTTGGAAAAATGTATCATAACAAGTATATGATAGAGTAAACGAGATTGTAGAAAACAAGTTTCGGATACTCTATAAAGTATATAACGGGTGATCCAAGTAGAGGTACTGCTTTCAATAGCCTTATGTTTTGACAGATCACGTGTGAGTCGTGTCAAGCTGTCATGTTATTTTTATTCAATATGGTTTGGCATTTCATCATGGAAAGTCTTACGCCTGAATAACGTTTATAAATCGTTCAGCGAACAGCAACCTGAAGAGAGTCAAAAGCTGCCATTTCATTTAGAAAAAACAACGGGTTGAGTGGTGTGTGGGACGGTGGATTAAATGATCCATATTTGCTCAAAAATTATGCCGTGGAGAACGTAACAGTCAATTTCGACCGTTATCGATGGCGCTATGATAACCGAATATTTGATGCCTGAAATTGAAGCTCGTGATCTCGGCGACATTTGGTTTTAACAAGACGGCGCCACTTCCCACACATCGCATCAATCAATGTATTTATTGAGAGAACACTTAGGAGAGCAGATAATTGTACGTTTTGGGCCGATCGATTGGCCACCAAGATCGTGTGATATCACACCGTTAGACTTTTTTCTGAGATGATATGTAAAGTCTAAAGACTATATGGACAATCCCCAACTCAGGTTGTGGAGCAAAACATCACGCGAGTCGCGGCCAACATTTGAAAGACATAATCTTAAAAAACTAAATACCAGACATTACCCAATAAATTTGAATATTCTGTGTATTTTCTTTAAAAAATTAGGAAACCTCGAAATAGATCACACTTTATAAGAATGTTTGTAAATGCATTTAGTTTTATTTACACATTTTAAAAAATGTACAAACATATGTACATGTGTATAAGAATTCACCAGCATTTTTATCTCCTCTCAAGTGTTGTGTGTTCCTTAAATTTAAGCAAATACTAGATATTGCATTAATGATTTAGATATCTGACGCTACGACATTTCAAACTTAATAGGTGTGTTGTGTGCGATCCGGCAGCTGAGTGCTGTCTTAAGGCGACAATATGCATTTAGCGGCTTGCGGTTTCTCATGTGAGCATTTTAAATCAAATATACACACATACAGATGTGTAGCGTAATAAACTTAATCAAGCGTAAGAACAATTGTAGTTACATCTACCATACACTTATGTACGTATAAGCTTCGAACAAAATCATCTGGTTACATAAGTTCTGTTACGTGTACAAATTACTTATGTACAAATATATTTACATTAATGTTAGTAAGTTGATATCATTAAGTACCTTAGTAAATTTTTGTAAACAAGTATATTTGTGTTATAAATTGTTTGTATGTTTCATATATATACTAGCATTACATATATTTGTATATGTGTATGTATGCATCTACATTTACTTATCATTTGAAATAGTGATCTTTATCTTCTGCTCCACATTTCTCTCAACTATCTTCTTGCTTGAATGAGTAAAACGATAACAGACATTTTGTAGGTAACATTTAAGTTCTCATTTCTGCGAAGAGCACATTCGCATTATAATTTTACTACTTGTAAAAATAACAGTCTGTGAACATACACCTCTGCTGCCAACTAAACATAGCGTAACTTAAAGCTAAGTTGTTATGAAAATTTTAATTTTTTTGTATTATTTTGAATAAGGAAGACATATAATATGTAGTTATAAGAACTTCTTTATAAAAAATATAAAATTTTAAATTTTACATCTTTAGAGAAAATATAATATATAAAATGTTGCAGAAATGTTTTGGGGAGACCACTTTACACCTTAATTGAGTGGCACGAAACATTCAGTGAAGGTCGTAAAGTAATCAACTTACCGCATGTAAGTTCTTCATCCACCTATATTATTGACGATGACATCAAAAGAGTTAAAGAGAAAGTATTTGCTAATAGTAGTTTTGACATCGGCATTAAATGTTGGTTAATGTTTTGGGTATGGATCATGTCAGTGCTTGACTCGTACCAAAAGACCTCAATCTTTTGTTAAATTACGTCGCAAAAAAGACACTTGACAGTGTAAAAAGTTTATGGAAAATTGAATTAAGCATTGGCATATTTGTATTGGTTTAAAAGGAGTCTATGTTGAAAGCAGTATTAAATAAAAATCTATAAAAATACTTGAAAATATAATTTTTGTTTGTATGTCCGGATCTAATATGATCAGATGGTAGGTCATAACAATGTCCAAAGCTATGGTGCTAACCAATGAGATTCGAATTTTCGAAAATAGATTTTGCAAATTCAGTACTCACTAACAACAACAAAAACATTCGGCTAACTATTAAAAAGTTGATTGAAAATTGTTTTTCTTTTAAACAGAGAATGAAGTAACTTTAAATTTATGCACAGCTGATTGCAAGCTTTGAATTGCAACAGATCCGCGCAGTAAGACGTAACTATAATCATTCGGACTGCGTAACTATATATATATATGTCTGTATATATATTTATTGTTAGTATATATAGTTAGTATATATATTAGTCTGCATATAGTGTATATATATATACCATATATGTGAGTACTTTTACATATATATATTGTATAAACATTTTTTACTGCACATGCAAGAGTATAAAAATTAGTTACGAGCTATGTACATGTAGCATGTTTGTGTATGCAAACACCCATAAATACAGTTATCGCACAGCATCATATGTAAATTCCATAACTATTCGCAATTTCTTTTTATCACATCTTTCGCTACTTTCTTAAGCTGCGAATACAGAACGAGACAAATGCTTACACATCCACATACTTATATGTTTATAGGTATATATATATATTCATTTGTACATGTAAAATATATACACACATATGCAGTTAGAAGATCATCTAAGACAGATCGTTTACGGCAAGTTGAACGAATTAATTTTGAAGGCTCAACTTACAAAGTGTGACTTGGTTTTGCGGCGACAACGCGAATACCTTTGTGGGGGGTTGCTTGATTGCATAGGCGGGGATGAGTCGCTGGCCGTCGGGCACTTAAGCAATTGAATTATAAATAAAATTTTCATGAAATACAGTAAGAAATGTGTATAGACTTATATTACATTTAGGAGGCATTCCATATACATACGTATATACTTGCATACATATATATCTATGTGTTTATGCATGCCTTACTTATTTAGTGATTGATAGTCTTGCTATCCATATAAATACAAATTCATACATACTTGTATATACATATATATGCATGTATACTGTCGTTTGCGACATTTTTAGTCTGAATTTAAAAGAATCAGTAGCAGTTAAGTTAGTCGTTGAGCGCGGCTTAGTTGTGACGGTGAATTATTGTTGGTGAACTTGTGGCGATTCTCTGTCCAGCACATAAATTTATATCTACTAAAAGAAAGGGCAGCAAATGCCCTGTAGTAAAAGAAGTGAATATTGAAAAGCTAAATGAAGATCAGTGTTAAAATTTCTTTAGAAAAAAGATATAAAAAGTGAAACTTAATAGAAGTATTAAAAAAAAAAAATTATGAATTAACTAAACTAAAAATACAAATGTGAAAATTGTAATGAAACAAGTGTTGAGGTTATATGCAAAATATGGCTTGGTGTTTATCTTAGTGGAACGCAAAGACTTATTTTATAAAACCAATGTGAAACTGGCATAAAACATGTGTGAATTAATAACTCCCGTATATATAACAATAGCCACATAAGTGAATAATAAGAATAAAAAATAGGAAAATCATTGTATGCGTGGTCCAGAGAAATTTTATAAATTCAATTTCATAAAACATTTTGGTTTTTTAAAGAAAGTGTGAGGTCAATAATAATTGCACATACGAAAATTTCACACTTTATATTAAAAAGTCTACATTGCGCTGCCTAAAGAAGGAGTTATATCCACTTGAAAATCAGAAAGAGCCCGTTTTTTTTTTAATAGACATTTTATTAAATAAATATATAAAAACAGCATACACTTTCAGAATTTAATGTACTTTAATAATCGGTGATTCATGTTGAAAAACTTTGAATTCCTTTTATCCCGCAACCTGCTGGAGGATCTCGGAAAAAAGGTGTCAGGTATCAAAAATCTTATTCTTTTGATCGTTATTTGACAAATACATATATGTAAAAAGGGAAAACAGTGAGAAAAACAATAGCGTTTGTGAAAAAGCAAAACACTATGCTGAAATCTTAAAAGATATCAGCATAAGTAATGCTGGAATGCTTAAATAATATATATATATATATATATGTATATATACATTTTGTCGGAAAAAGTATAGTTTGCATTTAATAAAAACAATATATCTTATAATAAAATTTAAACTTTAGTTGAATATTTTCAGTAGCCCGAAAGAGCGTTGAATATAAGGAAAACTTGTCTGCTTAATTGAAATCCCTCTCTACGCATTGATCTAGATTCAAACTAATAAAATGTTTTTTTAATTACATATGTACATATATATGTATGTGGTATACAATTTTTCTGCACTCATATGTTATTTTAATTTAAATGCACTTACATATAATTGGCATTTCAGATTTTAAAAATAAACTTTCTTTGAAACGTAGAATTAAACAACAAATATATTATATGGCATATATTTGTTGTTTAATTATAAATATAGAAACAAAAGTCCCACAAGCACATCTACCGCGCTTTGTTGAATGACAAAAATGTTTGTTTAACACTAAGACGCATGTACATACATATTCAAATAATTAAATTGGACTTAAGAAAGCTTAATCAACAAATAAGCAAGACCATATCTTTGTCCGGATATTATAATCAACTAAAATTTAAATAAACTTTTTTATTTCAACTCTTAATTTATGCGAAAGTAGGAAGATTTGCTTTGCTTCAAATGTGGGGATGTATGTATGTATGTATATAAATAATCGCTTCTTAGAATTGAGAAATGTATGTGGCTACTAAATAAATAATAATCTATGTATGTATGGATATGTGTACATGTGATGTGAAAAAATATATAAATATAAAAGCATTAATGTGTACTGAATTCATTATACGCACTGTCCAACCAACTCCTGGCTTCATGTTTTATAATGAAGAAAACCTTTACTGGATACGTGATATTAAAACCGGTGGAAATAAATAACGAACGCTGTAATGATTTTAAATTACTCATTGATAATCTTCAGAAGAACGACCTACAAGATGCGTTCCAAAGTAAACAGAACTTTTAAAAAAAAGACAGAACAAATGGTTTTATCGGCAAAATCAATTAATTTTTTTTCAAAATAGTCTCCTTGTGCTTTAGTACAGCTTTTTGCATGGTCCAAAAGCATGTCAAACGAGTGTTTTAGCTCGTTGCCCGGTATGGCCGCTAGTATGCCGGTGCAAGCCTTTTGTATGGCCTTCACGTCTGCATAACGCTTTACTTTCATCGGCAAATGCATTTTTCCGAAAAGGTAAAAGTCGCAAGGTGCCATATTAGGTGAATATGGGGAGTGGTTGATTGTTAAAATGTGATTTTTGGTCAAATAATCGGCCACAAGCGTCGATCGATGAGCCAGCGCATTATCGTGCAACAAATGCCAACTTCCATCTTCGCGATATTCGGGTCGAACACGTCGAATACGGCGCACCAAACGCTTCAAAACTCCAAGGTAGAATACCGCATTAACGTTTTGGCCTGGTGGAACAAATTCTTTGTGGACAATATCCTTGGAATCATAAAAACAAATCAGCATTGTCTTCACTTTTGACTTCTCCAGGCGCGATTTTTTGGGTTTCGGCTCATTTCTCATTTATGTCCTCACGACCACTTTGAAAACGTTAAACCACTCGTGCACTCTGCTACGGGATAGGCAATCATCGCCATAAACTTGTTTCATCAATTGAAACGTTTGGGTAAAAGTTTTACCAATTTTAAAACAAAATTTAATGTTGACTCTTTGTTCGAAGCTCATTTTCGTGCCGATGACAAAAACATACTGACACTTCACTTCCAATAGATGAAATGTCATGAAATTTTTACTGGAAGTCGACAAAGAATAGCAAATTCTAACACACTCGTCGACGTATAGATGGCGCCACTAGAGTTTCCTTTTTTACAGTTTACTTTGGAACGCACCTTGTATTATTCATCATACTCTTCCTAAGCTAATCCAAAGTCCAAACATAGTCACTATAATAACTTTTCTATATTCATTTATATAGTAAACTCCTTCAGTGAAGTTCATTCATAAAACGATCAGTTCATTATAACCCACATATTTTTTTAGTTATTGTTATTTTTTATACATTAGATAATGTTAAGTTGAAGCTCACTTATTATATCAAAATTCGTAGTATGTAAAACAAAAAAAAAGTTTTTTCAACCAGATTTTTGTTCATTTAAGCTCAATTTTGTTATTTTCAAAATTACGGTTAATAGATTCTTTACACTAATTAGGTAGAGCAACAAGACATAAATAAATAAAAATGACTACATTTAAGATTAGGTCATAAAACTATATTTATTTACTCAAATTTTAGACAGAAAGACAAATCAACAAAAATTTGGAAGCACTTTGATAAAGTTGCTACTTATTGGGGTCTACATTGATTTTATTATTTACTTTGTATGTACCGAGTCAACTTTTGCTTGTTTAGATTACATTATAAGTGAGTGAATACATATGTTTAACGTAAAATCAGATTGGTTTAGCCAGAAGCAGGTGCTGATTTTGCTTCTGTAATATATTTATTTATTAATTTTTAAAGCTCTCCATGAAGTTTATTGCAAAACAAAGTAAGAATAAGTGCCAGAGAAGAGGATGGATAATGGATATAAGTTCAGCAAAAATAAATTGTAATTAGTGCTGAAAGTGTGAGGAATTTATTTTAGACTTTATATAATACTAAAAAAATTATAAACAAATTATAAAGCCTTTGAATAGTTTCATAACCTAAAAAAATATTTAGATATTCGTAATTTTTTAAAGCCAAAGCCCGGGTTGCAAATAATGCATTAAAAAAAGAATTAACATTTGAATTACATTTTTATTTTGTTTTTATCCCAAATGCAGAAAAAATTGTATTCCCGCATACTGGATTAAAAAATAATAAGAAAATGTAAACCCATGAATCGTATTAAAAATTGTTTTTTAATTTTTAATCCCAACTACCGGATTGAAAAATAAAAAATAAAAATTTTAGACTCAAGCACATAATTAAAAACTAATTTGTTTTGGAATTAACATTCATTAAAATTAAAAAAAATAATTTCCAGTTTTCAATTTTTAATTCCAAACATCGGCATTAAAATATTAAAATCTAATTTTTAATTCCAAAATTGGGATTAAAAAATGAATATTTAATTTTTAACATCGGGATTAAAAAGAAAATTTTTTAATATTAAATTTTAAACATTATAAATGATCACAGTAAAATTCATTAGCATGAAAGACATTAAACTTCCATATAAACGGTTAAAAAATATCTAAAATACAAATATTTTGGATTAAAAAATAAAAAATTTAAAAAAAAAATTTTATTTTTTATTTAAAAATTGTAGGTTTCTTAGTTCCAGTAGGTCATTTTTAATGATGATAGAGTCACAGTGTGTCACATTGTGTACATAAATCATAAATACAATATATTAATTTAAATATGTCAACGCTCGCTAAGTTTTTAAATGTTTTCAAAATGTCCGACACGAGTCATAAAGTGTATAACATCTATTATTTTTACACTAATAATCCACTTTACAAACATAGGTTCACATTTGTTTGACTACTGTTGATAATAGCTATCGAGTACCACTGCGTGGTGTCTGTAACAGAATCACAAAACAATGGCCCTGTAGGAAAATTTGTCAGAGACTTTGATCTTAATTATTCCTTGATTACTATATTAAAAATAATACATATAAAAACGCTATAAAAAGTTAAAAATTAACGGATATACTTTATTTTGATTTTATATTATATAATAAAAAAAAGTTCTGTTGGAATTTAATTATCTAAGTTATCAGTTTTAGGCTTCCTAAATAATATATTTTCATCAAAAAAAGATATTTGTGTATAAAAACAATAGCCAACAACAGCCAACATCCATAATATATTTTTATTTGAGTATTCAATATTCTTCCACACCCTACCAAGATCCAAATATATATTCGATTCATTCACTGAATTAGAAAATGAGTAAGACGAGTATGTATATAGATAGGTATAGTCCTCACATATAATCGAAAAAATAAAATTAATACTTCTCAAAAAAGTATAGAAATCGATCAAATCTATCACACAGCAGTTACGCATATAATAAAATATTATATAATTTTTCCTACATACCTCACTATCACTTTGAAAATGCTCAATCATTCCTATTGCCATAATTCATAAAAGATGTGAATCTGTAATTATATAAATTCTTCGCGGATTAAAATTTAAGAAAAATTAACCCGCTTACATAGTACACACACCAACAACGTTATCATAGTATCTAACAGAGTGTTTATGGCAATTATATGTAATATACATGGGTACACAGTAAGTGTGACAAGCAACAACAATGTTTGAAAGCTACTAAACAAAAAGATTAACGGTATTTACATCGCATGTATATACGAACTCACACTTATCCACCGTATTATATATATGTATATAAACATGCACATTCACACAAATATATGTGCACACACATACATATGTGCCAAAGATAATATTTGAAACAAATATGTAATCTTTAGATAGGCAGCCGACAATTTGACGGTCTACTTGACATTTGTCGTTAAACATCATCGCTAAGGCGTCATCTCTAATGCAAATTTGTTGCTTGGTGTTTGTTTGTGCACTTGGATGTTACTGACACTTTATCTCCGCGCCTATCGAAGGTGCCGTGGGATCTTAAACCGATCGCGTAGAGTTTATAAAATAGCAATAGCTTTCACGCTTTGTTGCCAATTCATAATTTGCCGCTCGTGGTGCTAACAGAACAGTAGTAAATAAAGAAAAGCGCTAAAGTGTGACGAAAGGGTTCAAGCTTGCCCGGTTAAATTATTAAATGTGTCAAAAATAATTTCAAAACGTTAAGCGGTAAATGTGAAATATCGAGTGTGTGTGTGTGTTGGTGCGTTCCGAAATTAATTTAAAGTTTTTAGTGTATATTATATAAAAAGTGCATTTGCAACCATGGTTGAGCTTGAGAAGGATGCACAGGACAATGGTGGTGATACTTATCGTGAAAATGATGTCGCTTCGCGTTTGCTCGATAATGGCAACGTCAAAGTTGAAAACACAAATGGTGTACAAAGTAAAGAAAAACAGGATCTGGATACGGATCCAACGATGACCGAAGAAATTAATAAATTATTAAGAGATATGCCATTAACGGATGACTTGACCTGCGGTTTTTGGATATTTAAAGGACGCTTCTTTCAAAGGTAAGCCGCAGAAGTTCAAAAATTATATTGTTTAAGGTATAGCATTATTAATTGTTTTTTTTTTTGTTTTGAGAAAGGTAATTGGAGAAATTAGGATATTTTCAAAAAATAAATTGTTCGAAAAAATACGGAAATGTAATCAAATTGAGATTGAAATATAATATATAGATTTTAACAGAAAAAACCACTTATGATAGGAAAATTCCTATCGGATATGAATAATAATAAAAAAAATTAAAACTATGATTAAAAGTAAAAAAATATTAAACCAAGAAAAAACGTTAACCGAAGCTATAATACCTTTCACAGTTGCTTTGGACAATAATTTTTGCCAAAATTTGTGAAGATATCCTGTCAAGTAAAAAACATTCCAAATAAGGACTTCAGTTTGATCGGTCAGTATGTATGGCCAATATATCTCACAGCTGTCCAATCTTAACAATTTGCTAAGATTTTGTAGCGTTATCTTGGGCCATAATCCCTTAAAAAATTTAGTGAAGATATCTTGTCAAATAACACAGTTTTCCATACAAGAACTTGATTTCGTTCAATCAGTTTGTATGACAATAATATCCTATAGCGGTTCAATATAGGTGGTTCCGCCAAATGGGCAGCTTCTTTGCGAGAAAAGAACGTGTGCAAAAATTCAGATTAACAACTCAAAAACTGAGAGATTAGTTCGCATATATGCCTATATACAGACGAACAGACAGACAAACATGGCTAAATTGACTCAGTTCGTCACGCTAAACATTTACATAGCTACTTTTATAAATGTATAAAAAGATTTAACATATTAATTTCAAGGGCTCATACTTATTATTCTATCAACTTATGTGTAGATTATTGTATTGAACGATCGGAATAAAGTGCTTATGTGGAAAGCTTTCTCATTTGGCGAGATATCTTCACAAAATTTGACATTGATTATTGTCTAAGGTTATGGTTCAGTTTGCGAAGCAATATTTCAGATCGAGTCACTATAGCGTATAGCTGCCATACAAACTGACCGACCAAAATCAAGTTCTTGTAAGGACTCTTTAGTATTTATGTAAACCGAAATTAACGTTTTTCTTGTTTTTTTCTGAATTAAATTTTTTAGAACTTCTTAGAGAGTAATAATGACTATTTAATTTCAACTTCCAAAAATTACCATTTAGTTGAATAAAAGACTAGTTAAAATTTTCAACAAAAATGTTTCACAAGAAACAGTTTCAGATACCCATTTTAAACTTTTTTTAGTGATATTCTTAAATTAGTCCGACAGTTTCTTTATTCAATACATTCAGGAAATAACGTATACCTAAATCTTGATAACACAAAGCTTTTGAGTTTTTTTCATGGGTTTGAGATTTTCATACCACATCTGGACCTTCCCAAAGTGCACAAAATAGAACACAAAGCCATTTTTCAGGAACAACTTTCCGTTTTCGAAAACACTACTTGATAAAATGCAAATTCGTTATCGCTAAAAATATGAAACCTCTTCCATAGATTTGCGAATCAAACGGCCTATGTGTTACTCTATGGCATTGTGGGTTGTGTTTTCTCAATGACATATGCTTACTTCAATGGCACAATTACAACCATTGAGAAGCGCTTTAAAATACCATCGAAAAATACCGGTATCATATCGGTGGGTAATGATATTAGTCAAATGATGGTCTCAGCGGTGCTTAGTTATTATGCGGGTAAAGGACATCGACCGCGTTGGATAGGATTTGGTAAGTGAAACTAACCGAACATAAAATTTTTTTTATTTACACGATTCTTTGTCAGGTCTCTTAACAATTGTGGTCTTCTGTTTAATGACTGCATTGCCGCATCTACTTTATGGACCTGGTGATGATGCGCTGGCGTTAACTGCAGAGTTCGGTGCACAACCCGCCGAAAATGCGACCCTGGAAGCGATTGAAAAACAAGGCTCGAAGACATTATGTCGCCTGAATGGCGGTGGTGCCGAGTGTGAGATAGGTGAAGGTAATTTAGCTCCACAACTGGTACTGTTCGTTGCACAATTCATCTCTGGGATTGGTGGATCTCTATACTATACTTTGGGTGTTTCATATATGGATGATAATACAAAGAAGTCGCGTACACCAGTTTTGCTCAGTAAGTATTAGAAACTATGGTGTTTAGACAGGAAAATATTCTCTTCAAGAAATCCTTATCGCGCTTAGCATTCTGCTCGGCTAAATTGGATGCTGCAAGTAAAACGGCAATGTCATTTTAGTACTAAATAAAATTAGAGATATGCATATATGCTGATAACGAATTATCGCAAAAACTTTTTTTGATAAAACAAAAGAAAACTGCAAGCGAAAATTTATGGAATTAGGAGCTTGACTTCTAATCTTTATTGAAATGAAATTAAGTGAGTCTAATCAGTCGGCCACATGTTCGCTCGTGAGACGAGATTTTTCGCGAATACCATTGAATTATGGACAAAAGTGCTGTGAAATCATAATAAGGTGCTGAATAAACTTGACAGTGACATTGTACAATTGAATTGAAGTGGACATTTGCAATAGTTTGCACGTAAACTCAATTAAAAGAAATTTTCAAATACGCAAAAAGACTTTTTTTTTTTTTCGTCTCTCTTTATAACATTATTCTTCGCTGTCGAATTGTCAAATTTCGTCGTACTTTGCATTCGGTTCGAAACTGTGCTACGTATGTGAATTTCGGTTTCGAACGAGTATAATCGTATGTGTAGAAAATTGTACACAAAGCAAAGACCGCAAAAAAGAGGTGTTAAGAAGAGTACATAAAGCGTGCGAATTCGGATTTGAACTGTGCGTAACTCGGCGAATTGGCGTTACTCTATAATGGCGCCGAAATCCAGAAAGAAGAGGACACTTGATGTATCTGACATTGATATTGATGAAGTATCAGCTCTAAAAATGGAAAATGAACTATTAAGACAGTTAAATTCAGAACTACAGGAACGAAATAAATTACTGAACAACCTGGTGGAAAAAGGGAATTTATTAAGTGATGTAAGAATTTCATATGCTGACATTGCTAAAGGACATACTAATATTAATGAAAGAGTACCTAAAATATTAGTTAAAGCTAAAAATAATGATAATGGTGAAACTCTGAAAATAGTAAAAATGAAATTAACAAGTGATCTAACAATACCAATCAACAACGTTCGTAAAAATAATGATGGGCTTGTTTATGTTAAATGTAAAAACACAAATGATATACAAAGAGTTAAATTGGTCTTAAGTGAAAAACTGGGTGGTGATTATTGTGTTGACTTGGAGCATCTTAATTTTCCTAAAATAAAAGTTACTAATGTGGAAAATGAATTAAACAAAGAAGAATTATGCGAGGATATATGTAATAGGAATTTCCAAGATATTGATGGCGCTTTCAACATCATCGCGGACTACAGGAACAAAGCTGGAATCCGGTCATTGATACTCGAGCTAACCTCTGAGTCATACCTACATCTAAAAAATTGCGGATTTAAATTGTACATTGGTTATCAATGCTGCCAAGTATATGATTTTTTTAATTTTAATTTATGCTATAAATGCGGAAGATCAAACCACAAACACAAAAATTGTAAGAATGAGGTTAAATGTCTTAGGTGTGCGGGTGATCATTTAACTAACACCTGTAAAAGTACTAACATAAACTGTCTCAATTGCGTGTACTATAATGAAAAATATCGGAAAAACCGCCCAACTAATCATTGTGCTATGGATACATGTTGTGAATATATCTCTAATAGTATAAATAAAATAATAAACAATACTGATTATCCGGTGAAACCAACGATACCAAAGTCACTAGGTAAAATTGGAAATTGGTCTTTACAAACAACCGATGATTGATAAAGAAGAAATGCAGATTGAAGAAATTTTTACTGATTTATATAATTTAAATAATACGTTACCTAATAACAATTTCTTTATGGTTCACCTAAATGTTAGAAGCCTAAATACAAATTTCAACAAATTAGAGTTATTTATTGAACATCTTGTCATAAAACCAGATATTATTGTCTGTACGGAGACTTGGCTCCTTTCTTGTTATACTTTTTTTGAAATGAATGACTATAATATTTTCTATAATAGTAGCAAAAATAATAGAGCTGATGGCGTTGTATTATATATTAAAAAATCTTTAAAACATGATGTTAAGATAGATGTAATTGATAACGTGAAAATTATCTCAACGATAATAAAATTGAAGGGTAATAAAAATCTTAAAATATCGGGTATATATAGATGTCAAGACATTCCTAAAGAAAACTTTATAGATGCAATAACTAAATTTTTAGACGTAAACAAGCATGGGAACAATCATTTTCTAGTTGGGGATTTTAACATCAATTTATTAAGATCTGATATTGCTACAAATGAATATTTAAATAATCTATTAGATCGTGGCTATATACCATATTTCAATGGTGTAACCAGACCTAATGACTTAGGGGGTACTTGTATCGATAACATTTTTGTTAAATCAAATATTGAGAAAATCAGATCCTTTACTTATGCCAATGTTTTTACAGATCATTATCCTATTTTTGTTGCTCTGGATTTGTTCCCTATAAAGTCTATGCTTAAAGAAACCTATTTCATTAAACACAATCTTATAAAAGTAAATAGTAGTTTACATGATTGGTCCCATATGCTTGATATAAAAGATCCAGAAGTTTTTTTTAAGCTTCTGATTGAAAATATAAAGAATATTATTGATGTTTCAAGATCCAAAGTAAATGAAACTAAGAACAATAACAGACCGAGGAGTAAATGGATAACTAAAGGTATTATAAAATCATGTAAAACAAAAGAAACTTTATACAGACTATGGAACTTGGATAGAAATAATGTAAAATTAAAATCTGAATATAACGCGTACTGTAAAATACTAAAGAGAGTTATAACACTTGCCAAAAATAACTACGAAAGTAAATATGTTAAAAAAATATCCAAAGATAGTAAAAAAATGTGGCAATACGTTAACACGAAAATAGGTAAAAAAACTAAAGCAAGGCCTATACTGGATTATCTAGTATGTAATGATGAAATCATATCCGATAATCAGGTTATTGCTGATGAGTTTATAACTTTCTTTAGTAATATTGGAGTTGAATTAGCTAATAAAATTGATAAAATATCGATTGACATAAATAAAAATGTTAAGCATAACCCTAATAGCATGTTTCTTACTCCAACTAGTTATACTGAAATTGAAAAAATCATAAAAGAAATGAAAGATAAATCGGGTGGTGTAGACGGCATTAGCAGTAAGATTTTAAAAATTATAGCCAAAGATATTAGTATACCTTTAGAGCATATTTTCAATATTTGTATATATAAAGCTATTTGGCCCTCTGTACTTAAAAAAGCTGATATTATACCTATACATAAATCCGGGGACAAACACTTAGCAAATAACTATCGGCCTATTTCTCTAATCTCAAACCTTGCTAAAATATTCGAGAAAATAATATATATTCGATTTTATGATTTCTGTAGGAAAAATAGTTTAATTTCTCCGAACCAATTTGGATTTATGAAAAGTAGAGGTACCAGTGATGCTTTAACTCTTACATCAGATTTTATTTATAAAAATATTGATAAAAATTTACCATCTGTCCTAGTCTTTCTAGACCTAGCAAAAGCGTTCGATACTGTAAATCACGAAATACTACTAGATAAGATCTGGAGGCTTGGGATTAGAGGAATACCTCACCAATTACTTAAAAACTACCTTTACGAAAGGGAACAATGTGTAAAAATTAACAATTGTATTAGTACAACAACTAATGTAAAAGTTGGTGTGCCACAAGGCACAATATTGGGTCCTTTGCTGTTTATCATGTATATAAATGACATCTTCAATACTCTACCGGAAATGGCTCTCGTAGCCTATGCTGATGATACTGCAGTGCTTTGCTCTGGTAAAAATTGGAATGAAGTTAAAACACGACTGAATAGATGGTTGGAGATACTAAATAAATGGTTACGAAGTAATCAATTATCTCTTAACATAGACAAGTCAACATACATCACTTTTGGCAGTTATTGTGATAGTATACCCGTCAATTATATACTAAATATAAACAACAGAGAACTCACAAGAGTAGATCACAGCAAATATCTGGGTCTGTACTTTGATACACATATGAAATGGAATTTTCATGTGAACGAGCTGGCCAAAAAAGTCAGATACTTTGCTTTCCTCTTTTTCAAATTGAGTAAATGGGTTGACATAAAAATCTTAAAAACTATATACTATGGACTTTTCGAAAGTGTAATCAATTACGGAATAATTGCCTGGGGTGGAGCCTACAAAAATGCTCTGCAGCCTATAACAAATATGCAAAACCGTTTATTAAAGTTCTTTGAAAACAATTATGAAACTAATTTGCCACTTGACATCAAGAAAACTTTTATTGTTAAGGCTATAATACAATACTATGAAAAGTGTAAATCAAAATATCTTACCAAACAAGTACAAACTAGAGCTAATACTCTAACATTACCAAAAATTAAAAAGTCAATTAGCATTAAAAATGCATATTATATAGCAATTAAGTACTTTAACATGCTTCCTAATAATTTGAAGATTCTAACATGTAATAAAAAATCTCTTAACAAAAATCTAAAATCCTGGATAAATAACTTATCAATATAGTAAATTTTAGCTATCTATTAAGTGATTAATTTTTGCTCTTACTTGGTATAATATATAATTTATATGTATAACTTTGTCACGCAATATTTAGTGTAATGTACTATTATCCATGCTAGAATATATATAATATTAGAAAATAAGATGTTAAATATATTGTTTTTGTTGATTGCTCCAACTTTCAGGCTTATCTTACTTTCTACGCATGTTAGGACCAGCATTCGGCTATGCGCTTGCTTCCTTCTGCCTACGCGTCTATATCGCGCCAAATTTGCGACCGGTTATTAATAATAAAGATCCACGTTGGTTGGGCGCTTGGTGGTTGGGTTGGCTGGTCATTGGTGCTATGATATTTTTTTCGGGTATCTTCCTTACAATGTTCCCAAAGCAATTACCACGTGCTATGGCAAGACGTATGGTCGAAGAGGAGCGTCGTAAGCGTTTTTCATTGAAGGAAAATGCAGAAAATGGCATCAAAGAACCAACAGAGAAGCATAAATTGACCGCTGAAATGGAGGAGAAACCGAGTGAGGACGCCAAAGCTTCATTTTGGGATATGTTGACGACTTTCAAGCGACTTATAAGAAATAAAACCTTGATGTGTAATAATTTCTCATCGGTTTTCTATCTTTTCGGCTATACACCATATTGGATATTTACACCGAAATATATTGAAATACAGTATCGGCAATCGGCAGCGACTTCAAGGTGCGTACGAACAAGTGAAATTGCGGTTGTTATTTAACTTAGTTGAGTAGCGAAATTCTGAACGCCACGAAATAATTTTTGTTATGCTTTATTGTAAAGATATTTTATTTTGGAATAGTTTACGTCTCGAAAGCAGCTTATTACCTAAAATATTCTATGCTACCTTAAATGTTCGCATATAACTAACATATTTTGATTGGCCTAATAATAATGCTTTAAGTAGATTGCTTAGATTTTCCTTTCCTAGATTGTTGATCTCTGCCTAACTATTTAAAGCGCTTCTGTATAGAAAATACTCCTCATATTTAATAATTATTCATAAAAAGTTCATAAACAGTTTTGGAAAATATTTTTTGACTTCCCTTCAGTTAAATATTCAACTAACATACTGCTCCGGCGAGAATAACTCCCTTCAAATTTCCCATTTACAACGATTTCCCAAAAAAAAAAATAGTTTTTTGTAGAAAATGTTTCTAACGAGTCTTAAGATCTCTCTAACTAAATATTTACTTAAACAAATATTTTCAACATATTTTCTTACTCTATTCTTCCATCTTCTTCACAGTTTGGTGACTGGTACAGTTGCGTTGGCTTTCTCCGCAGCAGGTATTTTGCTATCGGGCTTTGTAATATCACACTATAAGCCCCGTGCCCGCTATATGGCCGCTTGGAATGTGATTGTGGGTTTCTTGACCGTAGCTGGTATCCTGGCATATGCATTTATCGGCTGCCCTGGTAATGAACAATCGGTTATCGTCAATATACATGACAGGTAACTTCTATATAAGATGTATGTTTACTTGAACACAGAAACTAAATTTATAATTTTTCTTCAAATCCTAGCGCTTTGAATAGCACACCTACCTGTAATTCTGTATGTCATTGTGATTACGTGCGCTACTCACCAGTATGCGGAGAGAACAATATGACTTATATCTCGCCATGTCATGCGGGTTGTAAGAAGCAATACAAAACTGCCAGTGGAAGAAAGGTAATAAACAAATTAATTTTGTTGTATTTCTATTAATTATACAGTATTTATTATAAAGCATAACCGTAACTCATTTTTACTCTTTCTCTCTCTCTCTCTCTCGAACTTTCAATTTCATTTTCAGATTTACTATGATTGCTCTTGTATACCGAATGACAGACGTCTCACCGTTATGGATTTAAAATCAAAGGAATTAGAGGTTGATGAGAATTTCACTACAACGGTAATGCCCGACGAGTTGTCCAGCACAACAGTGGCGTCGACTCTACCTACAACGCTGAGCACGACACCTGATGTAAGTAGAATCGAGATTCCCAAAACGCTATTAACAAACAAATTCTACACTTTTTTCTCCCAATCCACCTTTAGGTTCTACTTGGCGGTCAGGCTATAACTGGCGCCTGCCCGGTAAACTGTTTCGCTCAATTCGTCACTTTCCTATCGGTGATGTGTTGTTTGAAATTTGTCGGCGCTACGGGGCGCGCTTCGAACTTTTTAGTGTCTGTTCGTTGTGTTTCTGAAAAGGACAAAACGGCTGCAATGGGTTTCGGCATGATGATGATGTCGATGTTAGCATTTATACCCAGTCCGATCTTCTTTGGTTGGGTGCTTGATCGTCTTTGCCTGGTGTGGGGTAAAACGTGTACGAACAAGGGCAATTGCTGGCTTTATGATCCTGAATCGCTAAGGTATTGATCTCTATCATATTAATATACATATTTATTTGATTTTATGTTTTAATCATGCAATTTTATATTTATACAAATTCTCCCAGATACACTCTCAATATAACCGCTTCGGTATTTGTTGCTATAGGCGCTCTGTTCGATTGGGGTGTTTGGTATTATGTAAAAGATCTGAAAATCTTTGACGAAGAGGTGAAAGATTTCGAAATGAAAGTTGTGCAGCATGAGGAAGAAGTGAATTCAATAAAAGATTTGGAAGCATAACCTAAATAGAATAGGGTATAATTCGTTGTATGAAAGTATTGGTCTGTTTGTGTGCGTCTAGTTTGGTTGTGAGTGTGGTTGACGTATATACTAAGTATAATGTATGTGTTTTTTTTTTAATAAAAAGTTATATAGTTGCAAATACATTTAGTAAATATCGAGCTCATTTTGTATATAAACTGCAGGAGTAAAACAAAAGAGTATGCTAACTTACCAAAGTTTGTGGTAAATAATTTTGTAAATTTATAACAAGTATATTGTATATATTTATGTGAGTTCTTTGTTGTACTTTATGATAAATAAATACATTCTGTATTATAACTCTGTATCAATATTTAGTTGTGTACAATTTGTAGATGTCTAAGAATGAAGTATTAATAGCTAAGTTTTATGTATCAATCCATCAGTTTAAGGTAAGTTTAATAATTGTACATACATACATTCAAAAATACATTTACTACATTCTCAATAAAATAAGAATTCTGAAACTGTTGATTTATTTATGGTAATTCTGGTGGCGGTACAATGGCATCATCGATTTCAGAAACATATCTTCAGCAGTGGTCCACGAATAATTTAGTCTTAATTGAATAAAAATTCTTAGTTTAAGTCAGTTATACATGAAAAAGTTGGCAGCAAAACTGAAGCAACCTAATTCTCGCAAAGCTTTCGGTGTTGCTCAATGCAATCAGTCAAGCTCTACGCGCCTTTCTTAAGATTTGAGGAATAACTAAGGGCCTCGTTATGAAAAAAATTTAAGTCTCTCATGTTTTTTGAACATGTGATTTTCAGGAATAAATAAACGCATATAATAATAATAAACCCAACGATTACCCTCCTCCCGCCCAACCGACGCGGAATTAGCCGAGTCAGAAAAGGCAAGAGAGTTTTTTAAGTGTTGAGATCTAAAACTGCTCAGCTACAGAAACAAAAATTTCAACAGCTAAGATCTAAAGTTACAATATAATAAATTGTTACATTTTCATTTATTAAGAGAAAACAATAAAGTCTTTTTAATTTTGAAAAGTGAGTCAGATAAGTCAAATGTGCTGGAATGAGAATTAAAATCATGACATATACGGCGGAATGGCTCGTTTAGTTCAAAATTTGATCTACAGGATTTTAGCAGTAAAGGTCTAAACTGCTGCCAATAGCTAGACAACGGAGAAGGAAATGCGTGGATGTTTCCATCACACCTTCCTCCATACAATTTTGATAACTAGCGTCTTAAGAACTCCTACAAATGTGGCAAGATGAACTTTGCCAAAAGTAAGTAGTTCTTCGGATCTCCTGCGTTCTACGTTGGGACAGAGGGATCTCGCCGTCGCACAGAAACTAATGGTTGACCAATGCTAACTAAGCTCACAGAGTTCGATAAATTCAAAGCTGGAATGTAAGAGGCAACGAAGCCTCAGATCGTTGCCAATTTTGCGAACTCATGGGCTTTCTAGTATTCAGAGCTATTCCGCTTTGAGTAGGCGCCTAAACGAGTCTGAAAATGGCATAGTGAGTACAGACACTCCTTGACTTACCTTACACGCATAGCTAGCAACGCTCAGTTTGCCTCCACGCTAGAATTGACGTTATCGCAGTTAACGCTCACCTCCCGGTCGGAGTATTCTCTGAAGAAAGCGCTAATACTTAAAAAGAATGTAGGCAACTCATCCAAAATATTTGATTAGATTAACTATCCAAATACAATTAAAAAGTGTGCCATTTGCACTATTAAGCGTGCTCCACAAAACTACACAACGCAATTAATAATTAAGATAATGCAATATTTAAGATAATACAAACTGAGGTATCATCAAATGTGATAAATGTCAATTAGATTTCATATGAAAACAGTAGTCTGCCAATTTACACCCTCAGTTAGTTCCAGCAGCTGTGTCCAAACGCGTTTAACTCTCTTACCGACAATGCAAAAATGGTGCAACTTTTGGATGATAAATTGAAAGCGGATGCGCAAAAAGATAGTGCCGTCGAATTAAACCTACTAACTGAATCGAAATTGGAATCTCAAACGGAAGCGTGTGCACAGGAACAGCGGAAAAATGCTGAGGAGACGAGTGACAGCAATAAAAGAGAGATTCATGCCGTTGAACGGAATATGCCGCTAACTGATGATGTGAGATGTGGTTTTTGGTTTTTTAAAGGTGCATTCTTTCAGAGGTGAGCGACTGAAAAACGTATTTTCAAATATTGGTAATGTCGGCCTTTACTCATATGTGTTAATGTATTAATATTATTTTTTAATGTGGTGTTCTGGTAGATTCGCCAATCAAACCACATATGTAATGCTCTATGGATTAGTGGGCTGCGTGCTATCCATGACTTATGCGTACTTCAATGGCACGTTGACCACACTTGAAAAACGTTTCAAGATACCTTCAAAGAATACAGGCATAATTGCGATTGGAAATAATATCACTCAAATGTCTGTATCGGCTATGCTAAGTTACTATGCCAGCAAAGGGCATCGACCGCGTTGGATCGGATTTGGTGAGTGAAAAACAGTAAGGCGGAAAATATTTAAATTCATCTACTATTCAACTATCCACGCAGGCATTATGACATTTGTCGGTTTCTGTGTGCTAAATGCAGCGCCGCACTTTCTTTATGGTCCCGGTAAAGACGCACTTGCGCTTACAGCCGAATTTGGTGGCGTTGTTAATGAAAATACCACTCAGGATGTATTGGAAAAACAACGGGCCAAGGAGTTATGTCGTGATCGTAGCAATGAGACCGCTTGTGCACTCGAAGAGGGTAACTTCGCACCACAGGCGGTGCTTTTTCTGGCGCAAGTCGTCTCTGGCATAGGCGGTGGACTTTACTATACGCTTGGCGTATCCTACATGGATGACAATACGAAGAAGTCTAAAACACCAGCTCTATTAAGTAAGTGCCGCAAGTTTTTATTGTTATTTATTGTTAATCTAGCTATGCGAAACTGCCGTACAAATGAAAATTATCACAAAATATATTGTTGTTAGGTTTAGAGTTGTCATCAAACGAGATAAGAGGAAATCTATGTTATTGATATTATGATAGACTTCTTAGAAAGGTAACGACAACTTTTGTTTATTGTGAAATTAAAAAGTGATGGAGGTGAAAAATCAGAAGTTACTGGGTATCCTATCAGCGTAGTTAACAAAAAACAATCGATTGATGCTCTTTCTTTTATAGTTATTAGATAACTGAGAAGGCTCAATTGTTGTCGAACTTATTTCCTATAGCTCTTAATACATTGTATAATTTTGATTGTGTTCGGTTGCTCATCTACAGTCACCTCTGAGTGACATATTATCTGGAGACTGAGATCTATGATAAGTATCGTTCGGAGACTTCGACCAAACAGCTTTCTTAGTGTAATATGAGAGTGGTAATAATAATAAAGTAATAGTTAACGGTTCTCACGATCACTTCGCAGGATCGGGGTTGCCTCTTTTGAAAAAGGCTCCTTAAAAAAATTCATCAGCCATTTTCGTATTAAGGCGCATGAATCAGGGTCAATAATATAGCAAATTGTATGCAATATTTTTTAGTTCGCATCACATAAATATTTCTTCATTTCGTTTAATAGTGAATTATAGTATATGATAAAGTTTATACTTCTATTAATATCCCTCTCGCTATCTAGGCTTATCATATTTCTTCCACATGCTGGGCCCCGCCATTGGCTACTCATTGGCTTCATTCTGTCTGCGTTACTACATTGCACCACAATTGAAACCATTAATTAATAATAAAGATCCGCGTTGGTTAGGCGCCTGGTGGATGGGTTGGCTACTGCTGGGCACTGCACTCTTCATATCCGGCCTAATATTCAGCATGTTACCCAAAGAGCTGCCACGCGCAAAAGCACGCCGCCTTGTGGAAGAACGCAAACGCAAAGAGGCAAACGCATTGAAAGCTGTTGCAAGTGAAGAGCACGTTGTGTCCAAGGCTTCTATTCGTGATATGGTGGCCACATTCAAACGACTCGCCATGAATAAGACACTGATGTGTAATAATATATCGTCAATTTTCTATTATTTCGGTTATACGCCGTATTGGATTTTTACGCCGAAATATATTGAGGTACAATATCGACAATCGGCTTCGACGTCAAGGTAATTGTAATGTTCATATGTGTTTCACAATTATTTTATATGATATTTACTTTAGCATTGTCACCGGTACCGTGGCGTTGGCTTTCTCCGCTCTTGGCGTGCTCATTTCCGGTTTTGTCATATCAAAGTTTAAGCCTAGCGCCCGTTATATGGCCGCTTGGAATGTGCTGGTTGGTCTGCTTAGCGTTGTCGGTTGTATTGCTTATGCTTTTATTGGTTGCCCGGGGAATGAACAGTCGATGATTGTCAATATACCGGCGAGGTAAGTTTGGAAAATACCCACAACTTTAACAGTTATACCATATGTAGCTCTGCTGCATTCCATTTCAGTGGTCCGAACAGTGTTGTCACTTGTAATTCTGCATGTTATTGTGATTATGTGCCGTTTTCGCCAGTTTGCGGCGAGAATAATATGACTTATATATCACCATGTCACGCGGGCTGTCGACGTGCAATAATCGACGATAGTGGCTCTAAAGTGTGTATTTGAATTACCGTTTATTATAAACCACAATCTCTTGTATTTTTTTGTTGTAATTAAACAAATATATACTTTTTTCAGACTTTTACTGATTGCGGTTGCATCTCTATAGGTGCCACAACAACAAATCATGTTAAGCGCTCAGTTGCAAAATTTCTGAGTATAACAGAGAGAGAATTGCAAACAAACTCCAATAATACATTGCAAGAAGCAACAACAATCAAAGCTTTAACTACAGAGAGTATAACAAATGATGGATCCTTTGTATCACCTATCAACTATTTCACAGCAACAAAAACACAAGAAGAACTGAGTGTTAGTATTTATGTCTTTCTTTGCTATTTGAGCTCTAATAATCTTAAATAAACTTCTCTCTCCTTTCTCTCTAACAGTCCTCATTCGGTGGTTACGCCAAACCAGGCGCTTGTCCCGTTAACTGCTTCAAACAATTTGTGCTGTTTTTGTCGGTTATGTGCTTTTTAAAGTTTATCGGTGCTACTGGACGCGCATCGAACTTTTTGGTAACGGTGCGTTGTGTGCCGGAACAGGATAAAGCCGCTGCCATGGGTTTTGGCATGATGTTGGCCTGCATGCTGACCTTTATACCCGCTCCTATATTCTTCGGCTGGCTGTTGGATAGTATGTGTTTGGTGTGGGGCAAGACGTGCAGCAATAAAGGCAACTGCTGGCTATACGATCCACTCGCTATGAGGTGGGTAATGAGTAGGGTGGAGCTTTTGTCCAAAAATTTTCTTTTTTGATAACCTACAGATTTTACCCTCAGGCTAAGCACAAAAAAAAAAATTCTTCGCTCCATCCTAGTAATGAGTGGCGTTAATCGAATTATTTATTTAAAAAAATCTGTTCAGTATTGTTTAAAAAAGTTCAAATTTATATTCTTTAATATCCCAACTTAATTTATATGTGTCACTTTATCTTTTCAGACACACATTAAATTTAACGGCAGGAGCATTCATTTTTGTTGGCACGGTTTTCGATGGTGGGGTGTGGTATTTGGTAAAAAATCTTAAAATCTTTGATGAGGAGAAACAGAGTGCTGAAGAAGGTACCAAAGAGGAGAAGGATGTTATGCTTTTTTAAGCAAAGGGCTAAAAATCCATTTTGTTAATTTTTTTTATTACTGATTTTATTGTTTAATCATTTTTTTATAAATATAAGCATACTTTTTTACGGTTCAAAAGCAATGGAGGAAAAACCAAAAAAAAATTTTTTATTATGATATATTTTATTGGTATTGTTCAAATTTCATATAGATCATTTCAAATATTGGTTCACGGGCATGGCACTCCTATTTTTGGTGGTATGGAAATGCATATAGTCAATTCACACCATCCCTTCGGCCTTACACAGAAGATTTGTGTTCAAAAAATTTATATAAACTTAGCCCGCTTGAACTTAAACTAAATATCTTTACATATCTATACACACCTAATAAGGAAGTCGGCCTTAAGATATAATAATTTGGTATCGAATTTCGTATGATAGTATATTTTTATTACAAGCGCATAGCTATACAATTTTTGATTTTTTACTGCAGTAGAAAGTATATCGAATTACTACTGTACTACATCTGCATAGCGCAGTTTAAAGTCGAGTGTAGTAGCATAGCACCCTTCAAAGTGTTTAATATATCCGGTTTGCGCCTTTGCTAAGCGAACTTTCTCTCCTGTTAAGAACAGTGGCCTCAATACCTTCGCCTAAATGTAGGCAAGCAGGCTGATGATTTATACAGACAGCTCTAATCTGCGTACTGTGTGCAATTTTATAAATATATGATATTAAAATTCTTGGTTTATGCGTTTTTTTGGCATTATTTTACTTTATATTAAAAATATTTATTTGTGTACGATATTTTGTAATTTGATTTCAATAAATATTATTCTCAATATATAATACGTTTTTAGTTCTGTTTGTAATGAATGTATAAAAAAAAAAATATTTACGAAGCTTTGAGAACTTTGGTGATTGTACAAATTACTGCATAAGGAAATGGGCGTGGTAGTTTGTTAGTTTTCTCAAAAGTTTTCCTTATATATGGATGTCTCGAAAGAGATTTGTATATATATTTTTTTTTAATTTTATTATTTAAAACTTGTATTGCATTTCCTTATGTTACTAATCTAGTAATTTTTAGAGACAATAATTAAATTTTTTGTAACATGAAATGTTATAATTTTCATGTGATGCGAATGACATGACATTTCAAACTTGGTGGCAACTCTTTTTATTAAAAATTTATAATTTAAATTGATTCACTCTACACTTCATGTTATAAAAAATATTTTATTTTATGCATAGTTATTAAGTAAACTGAAAAACTTTCCACAGTTATAAAAATTATGATTCTTTAATCAATTATTTTTACTCTTACAAAAAAGAATCCAAAAGTGACGAATGAAGATAACAGCCACAAGGAATGCCTACAATAATAAGTATAAATACAAAGGCGCAGTCAGCTACGAAGCTCTTTTCATTTCATATAGGAATGCATAAAGAATAATCAAATTATAGGAGGGTTTAATTATTATTATACCCAACAGTAAAATAAAGGCAATTATCATAAAATTGTCTAAGCACAATGTCCAATGGAATCGAAAGATGGAAAACCAAAACTTTTTTTCACTCATAAGTGCTCTTGTAGTTCTCAATGTTCTCTATGCATTTTCAGAATCCGCTCTTCGCTGCTTTTCCAATACATTACTCTAATATACAATACTTGTAATATTGTATATAACTTTCGAAATTTTCTGTCTGTCATTATCGCGGATTTTGAATTTTCGCAGGCTACGTATTTTGGTTTGTCTTCGATTATTGCTTATTCCAAAAAATGGATCAAAGTATTTATTTAAAATTTTTTGTGAAAAACATAATTAACATAAGTGCGCTGTCAAATACCTTGGACAATCATGGGATTATGGTTGTGACGTTATTACACATAATTTTATACAAATCTCTAACGCAACAGAACAATCGAAAATCGAATACACGTAGCCCGTGAAAATTCAAAATTCGCCATATTTTTTGAACAATCCTCTATCTACACTCTACATTGATTTTTTGACGTTGGGTATATGGTAAAACTCATTAAATCTGAAACACTTTAATTGACAATCCCAAGACGCGAATTATTTAGGGAGCAGAATATCAACATGGGCTTGACATATTCAAACACCTTTTTATACTGCTGATAATGTTTCTACATATGTATTTTTTTGATTTAGCGATTATTAAATCAGTTTGAGTGCTTTAACATGCATATTTTACGTTTACTCTGTGAGATAAGATATCAGCGGAATGTTTACCAGAATTTGTAGACGGAATTCGATGTTCCCTCAACGGTGCCACCCAAAAGGTGTTTGACATCAATACAAACTATAAAAAGGATATTAATTTTAAGTTAAATATTTGATTCATGAGCAGGAATTAATGGTTAAATTTAAATACTCTCAGTCATGCCTTAATTCAAAGACTAATTGTACTTAGTTGTAAAAATTACGCATATTTAAATTATCTTATCGGATATTAAAGTTGATTGATTTTAATGTAAATAGTATATATGCTACATTTTTAAAATAGAGAAAATAATCGAATTATGATTAGAGTATCGCATAAATTTCACATACCGTTGATCCTAGTAACTATTTAAAGAATTTGTGACATCAATACAAGGGTCTTGCAATATTTCGATGACGGTTTAATGATGTAAAGCTTCAAGAGCTTTAAAGTAGGAGTTTGCTGTCATATAGACCTCTCATCTTATTTCACTGATATCTTTTTCCAGCCGAACACTTTTTAAGATTTGGTAACAGGAAATAGATGCTAGGGACCAAATCTGGCGAATTTAGTGGATGGGGGAATAATTCGTAATGAAATTCCTTCAATTTATTGGTCGTATATCTTTATCATTTGTGAAAATTCGGGAATAATATGACCCTTGCGTTTCTTTGAGTACCAATGATGTTAACCTCTTGCGAACGGTTGGATGGAATGTTATGCCACTTTGACAGTGTTAGATACTACAGCAGTGATAGACATTTTTTATTTTGTGACGTGTTCTCTTCATAGGCACCGTTGCTTGGGTATTAGTAAATAATATAATTAATAACCTATGCCAAATTTAGAAAGATATCTTCTCAAATAAAGAAGTTTTCCATGCAAGCGCTTGATTCCGAACGTTCAGTTTGTATGGCAGCTGTATGCTATAGTGGTCCGATATCGGTGGTTTCGACAAATGCGCAGCTTCTTGAAGAAAGAAGGACGTGTTCAAAAGTTGAGATCGATAGCTTAAAAACTGAGCTACTAGTTCGCGTATATACAGACAAATGAACAGACGAACAGACAGACGGACGGACGGATGGCTACATCGACTCAGTTTATTATACTGATTATTTATGTATACACACCTGTATATATTTATTGGGTCTCCAACGATTTTTAATAGTATTACAAACTTCGTGCCAAACTAAATATACCCAGCTTAGGGTATACAACTATAAGATTAATAGCATATATATTTAATATGTCTTTTAATGTAAATTGTTTAACAAGAATCAACCATTTACGCAACGTTTTTAAGAGCTCTTGTACAATACTTACTCGCATACTTAATATTAGATCAAACCATCTAAAAACAAAGTACTGATGATCTTCAAAGCTGCAGCCAAGGTAATTGGAAATTACTCTTTACAATATTTTGAATTACGCATAGCCTGTAAATTCACAATCAAAACTATTTATTTTTAGTTCCTGCTCTGGCGCGATTAGCCAACGAAGATTGGATTGTCAACAAAAACAGCAGTAGCGGCAAAAAACAACAACTGCTGCATGTGATACCCTAAGCAATAAACGATAAAAGTGTTAAAGATAGCAGCCAACACCAGTAGTTGCAAAAACAAAAGTAAACAGCAACAAACACTGCTTTACAACAACATGTATGTATGTTTATCATAATTGTAATTGTATTTTTCGTGCCTTATTTAATTACATACACACTTTTTAAGCACGAAGGGGGTTTTGGTAAGGGGAGGGCGATTTTGGTATGGGTGTGAAAAGATGTGAGGCTTCGGAAGACAACAACAACAACAACAATAACAATGTCAGTGACATTGTCATTTCCACCAATATTTTTGTTAAATATTGTTATTGCTATTGTTGTTTTTTCATATTATTGCTACTTGTCGACGCTGCCAGTAGCTCTGGTCATCGCTGTTCTTGTTGTTACTACCATATTCATCTGCTATCGGCATTTGCCGCCGCAGCTGTAACCGTCGCCGTTGACGCCAGCGTTTTAGCTTTCTGTATTTATTGTTGTTGTGCTTTTTGATTTCGCTGTTGCTGTCGGGTTGGCTTCGCTTGTGCGAATTTTCATTACTGTGTAGTATTTGTTTAAACGTTAAAGCGCACACAACGCCAAGAAACACTGAGCGGATCAACAGGTGGTGTTAGTTGAATAAATCCTCCAGCAGCGGCGAATTAAATTTCGATTTTATTTTATATCAATAAGACTTTACGTGAAGACGTGCGTGTGTTTTCTGCAAAGCCTACAATAAGCTAATAATTGTCGCAAAGGTACAAAGAAAATCCCGTTAATTTGAAATTTTAATTAGTAGACGATAAGTGCTTGAAGTAGTTTAAATTTAAATAAATAAAAAATATTTGTGGAACGAGTGTAATTGTTGTACTTGGTAAATTACTACATAAATATTGAGTGAGAATTCTTTTTTTTATAATTTTTGATAATTTTTTTTTTGTTTAATATGTTTAGCTTATATCACTGTTCTTTTTTTCCCACATATTTTCATTGCAGTTATGTTTCAGTGTATATATGTACATATATATATACATACAAACATACAAATATATGTGGTAATAAACCGCTAATCGATCAACAGTTCCTTATTGCCTACAAATTCTGATTACCAAGATTTTTAGATTGGCTATTTTATCGACATGTTTTAGGTTTTTTTTTTGTATTTTTCAAGTGTTATATTAATGTTTTTTTATCAGCAAATACACAAGCGCATATGAATTGTTATTTACCCGATCCAACTTAATTTAAACTGGAAGTGGTTACTGGTTTACTTTTTCAATTAGATAATCTCGCTAAGCGCTGATAAAAAACACAGCTGTGCTATTTTTGGTAGAATATTTCAAGTGCTTTGAAACAATTCTAAGGAATGTTGTGCGATTTCATAAAAATCTTTATTATTTTGTTTTATAAACACGCTTTGGCATGTCTTAATTTAAAATCACGTTTGCACAATTAATTTTTAGATATTTAGCATTTTTATGAATTTTACAATGTTTGCAATTAACAAAAAGGAATGAGTTATTCTAACCAATAAGCAAACAAAATCTTTAGTGTTGTTTGTTTTAGCTCATAAAAACCTGCAATAGAAAATAATTTGAATGCATCTAAGTTTTTGTAAAAAGAAGAAAAAACGTTAACTTCGGTGGCACCTATATCCTACACAAATAAAAAGGATTCCTAAAGATTTGTATGGCAGCTATATGCTATAGTGGTCCGATTAATTTCTTCGAAGATCGTAACGTTACCGTAATCCATGCCAAATTTGTGAAGATATATTATTAAATAAGAAAGTTTGCATACAAATGTTTAAAGGTACTTTTTTCAAAAGTTGAAATTTTGAAAATTCATAACTCTAAAATTTTGCATATTGAGTCGATATAAAAAATACGTGTCCAATATTTTGCCTCAAAGAACCCAAAAATAATGTTTTGTACGAAAAAAGTTGTTTAATGTAAATTTTCGATAGAATGATCCATACACATTTATATGTATTTTATAGGGTTTTCCATTCTTCGTTACATTCATGTTACACATTTCTTGACAAAATTAATAGACACTGTTCAGGGTATAAAAACGAGTATTATAATTAAAAAATATTTGGGGAACTCGAATAGACACTTCTTATTTGAAAAATGAACTAGTACTAGTTCTAACGCATTGTTGCCTGATAAATTGGTTGACCCAACCCAACAACAATTAAAAGTCCTTACAAATCCTTTATTGTTGGGAAACTTTTTCAATTTCAAATAGAAATTTTTGATACATTAATTTAGAATTTTCATCACCAAAATGCGTTCAGTTAGTTGCTGGCGCTCTGACATATTGTTCGATCTTGTGTAAACCTCGATGTTTGTTTTAAACAAAGAAATAGTAGTAAAAAGTGAAGACATTGGGTAAGCTCTTCAATTTAAAACTTGTATCTCTACACTGTCCTAAAACTTGCTTTTGGTTCTATTTATAATTGCCTTATAAATACTTCGAAAAAATCATGTTTGATAATAAACTAGGAATATTCTCGAAACGTTGTTTCAAGTAATAAAAGTTGTCATAATTTTTTAATATAATTTTCGTATTAAAACTGGAATTTCTTCATATTTTTGGGCTAAAAGAAAAGTGAACACTACAAATAGGTTAGGTCATACATTTCTTGTAACGAAACGTTCATACAATTACATCGCTTATGTCAGGAATGCAGTTTTGTATTCGGCCAAAGATTGTTCAAATTTACTTGGAGTATATTTTATGTTGTTTAAACAAAAATATGTTGCAAGGATACATACCTTGCTTTTAGGCTGCAATTAGTGAAGAAAATAAGAAAATTATATTTATTATTTATATAGAAATTCTGATTGAACTTGAACCCATAAGGAGATATGGGAACTCCAAAGTTTTTACAAAAATAAAAAAAAGAAGAATTTGACATAAATATTCTTTATCAAAACTACAAAATATGTTTTCGAAGGTACGAGCTGGTGTTCGTACAAGTCTATACCGAGCATAAGACAAATTTAATAATAAAACACATCAACTCAAAGTTCGTGACGAAAGAAAAATATTATGAATTCTACTTTTCTGAAAAATGTTTGAAGAGTCGTAGAAAAAAATTAATTTTTTATTATATCGGTACTGTATGTTAGTATAATAGAAAAATATTTTAATTAATCAGGTATTTTTCGCACCACAAACAAATTTTTTAATCGCAGGTTTTTTTTGTGTTTATTTGTTATTAAAGCTAATTCAATATTTAGCCATTCATATTTGCAAGTAATATTCAATATTTGTACAATTGTTAAAGACTTCTAAAGACTTTCTTATCATTATACCCTGAACAGAGTATGTTAAATTTGCCATAAAGTTTGTAACACCAAGAAGGAATCGACGGGGACTCTATAAAAAATATACATAAATGATCAGCATGATGCTCTGAGTTGATTTAGCCATGTCCGTCTGTCTGTCCATCTATCTGTGTATATGCAAACTAATTCCTCAGTTTTTAAGCTGAAATTTTGCACCTGTCCTTTTCTCACTAAAAAGCTGCTCATTTGTCGGAAAGGCATTTTCTCGAAATTAGATCGGAATCAAGTTATTGTAAGGAACCTTTGTATCTGTAAAGGGTATTACGTTTTTTCTTGTTATTGTATTAATTTCTGTTTCGCATGACGTCGAATGTATGCTCATATTGCCATACATATGTATATGGTACATATCTCTGCGGTTAAACAAATTGGATTTTTATTATCAAATAGGTGCAGCTAAGGAGCAAGTCGGTATCATATACCACACATGTACAAATGTGCACGTTTGTGTTTATATAGAAAATCTATAAAAGCTTATCTTTGAATTTCGCGTGACTACTACCGCGCGGAAAACGGTCGGATGTCGGAGGCACCTCTTTGAGACAACTGTACATGTGCCATATTGGTGGGAGAGTTGCTTAAGTAATTGGTTCAATGAAATAAGACCAAGAAAAATCATTTACTTCGACTGCACCGAAGCTATAATACCCTTCACAGGTGCGTTTCTTATAGCATAAAAGGTATAAAAAAAACTTTGTCTTGATTTTGACTATTCAGTTTGTATGACAGCAATACGCTATAGCAGTCCGATCTTAACATTAGCTTCGGAGATTGTAGCGTATGCAAATCCATACCAAATTTCGTGAAGACATCTTGTCAAATAAAAATTTTTTTATACAAGAACTAGATTTTGATCGGTCAGTTTGTGTTTCAGCTATATGCTATAGTCATCGTCTATCGGCGATTTCGACAAATGAGCTGCTTTTCGGGAGAAAAGAACGTGTGCAAAAGTTCAGATCGATATTTTGAAAACTTAGGGACGATTTTACGTGTATACAGATGGACAAACGGACGTGGCTAAATTGATTCAGCTCGTTACACTGATCACTTATAGTTAATAAAATTTTTGTGTTGCAAACTACGTAGAAAACTTAATATACCCTATATAGGGTTTAAGAAGTGCAAGAAAATGAGGAACCGGGTTTAAGATTAAAGAACGCCACGTTGAAATCTCATAAAATATTAAATATATAATAGCTCATAAACATAAAATCTTTTATAACACTCTCCTCGTCCATTTGAGGTTTCAATACTTTGAGTGATAAAGATGTTAAATTATTGGAAATTTTAATGATACAGCTAGCCTCTTCGAAATATGTACCGCAAAAATAATTTAAATTTAATTTAAAATTTTCTTTATCATTTAAATATGTACACATCATTTATGTTATATATATCCATATGTATGGTGACATTATAAATAAATTTAAATTTAGAATTCGTATGAAGACATTATCACTATGGAGAAGCGTGTCCAGCGTGTCATTATACATTGCTTAATACTGTTGTCGGTTGCTACAAGGCGTAGAAGTGTTAATGAGAACTCAATGAGAACAAATGAGTTTCACAGTCCTCTACTAATTTGTTTATAACCAAGCAAGCAAGTTCAAAGCGTGGAATAGTGGATTGATGTGGCGGCATTTTAAAGTGAAATTTTTCACAAAGTTTAACTTAATTGTAGATACATATATATGAATAATGTTATATTTATGGGTATGCACACATATGTATATATGCAAAAATGATATAAGCAACCACAAATTTTATGAGCATGCCACAAGATTCGTAAAACATTTATTTTTGGCTGAAATGAACAATGCAATGAACTTAAAGAAACCGCAATTTTGACAAAAAAAAAATGTTTCCACAAATGGTTGAGGTTTTAAAGCCTTTGAAGCTATGATGAATATACCATACATATAAGGATGAATAATTACGATGAAGGAAAAGATAATGTCAACATTTACGAAAATCGAATACGTTATATATAGTCTTGTTATAGTCTCTCAACACATTTTAATGTAACTGTACTTTAATCTAAACTAATTTTGTATGCTTTCTTAATTTCAAAGACTCAAAGAGAATTCTAAATTCTTAATATGTATATAAAATATTATTGTATTATTTATTGAGACTATTACACTTTAGCGAACGCGTTCTTTTATTTCACATACATAAGTAACTTGTGCACTTACATTTTAATTGCATTATCTTTGCATTACAATTCCATTTATTTTTTTTAGTGATAAGTTTTGTTATAAATTTGTCAAAATGTATTAATGTCACTCCTTTCATGTGTCTAAAAGTAAGTTATATAAGGCTGTGTACATTTAGAAGTAATAGACAAATACTGAACTAAGCTCAAAGGTGTATTTGCGAATTGATATCTTTGTTATCAAAAA